CAGCTAAAAAATGGGGTGCTGGATAAAGTCCAGTTTACAGTGGGCCCAGGAGGCCTGCAGATCCATTCAGTGGTCATACTGCATCTTTTCCCACCACTCACACCTCCAACACCGTGGGAGTCAGCTGGCGGAACTGACTGCACTGTGGCTTGGACCTGCGGCAACACCCTTTCCTGTTCTAGCCTCACTCAAGCCAGCAGTTTTGTATGTCACCCAGTTTATGGGCCAGAAAAATATCCCCCAGGGGTGGAATATGTTGTCTCCAGAACACTAAGAGGCCTACAAGGCACTGCCTTCCTTCTTTTAAACAGGGCTAGAAGATACATCGATTTGCTTTTTACTTTAGAATAGCCTATTCCAGAATACTTCCAACCACCGAACCTCCAAAAATCTTACTGAAATGGCCTGTTCTGGACTCTTCACAGGGTTTATCTCCTACCCTCTGAAATGCACGCATCTTACCAAGGCCTCCAGCCTACTAGCCTCTCTGGCTGATCCTGTCTAATCAGTTTGATGTCATCTCACTGTGATGGATCAATGTGATATGTTCTTGGATGTTTAAGAGGTCCAGATCTCTCAGACTATCTTATAATAGGAGGTGGGATAGGTAATATAACTCTAAGGCAAAGTGTAAATTAATATTGTTGGAGGTTTTTCTGCCCACAGAGGCTCAGCCAGCACTTCTATCTGGAAGCTTAAGGAATGCTTGATCCACAGGCGTGGAATCTTATATAGCAGAGCATCCAGCCAGGGAATCTACTTCAAGTGCAGGATGTGTGGGAGTAGGTCATGACCATAGGATTCACTGGTTGTAATATGAACTGCACCACCCAGAAGTAACTGGCCTTCTATAGATTGTTGAGATGGTCTAAAGTTACAACTTAAATGCCAGCTCTGAGAAAAGATGTGAAAGAATGAAGCGACATCTTTCAGGACATGGTACATTAATTAAATCAGTGACCACTATATGGTGCCATGAGGAGCTCTGTGAATTTGTTAAATCTAGGCTTGAGGTATCTGATGACCGGGAAAATGTGTGCAGTTGGGTAGTGGACACTTGTTTACATAAGGGAAGTTGAGATAACATGAGTATTGTACTAGTTTGCTTTACAAATGCTCCCAAGGTCTCAGGTGAAAAAAGATTTAGAGTTGGATAAGCACTTGGAATCACAGGTTGAAGAGATTATAGAGAAGTCTGGTGAGGAAGGAATGCCTGATCTTGCCCATGTCATGCACATCTTGTCTGCAGAAAATATCCCAAATTTGCCTCCTGGGGGAGGTCTTGCTGGCAAGTGCAATGTTATTGAAGCGGTTTATAGTAGACTGAATCCACATAGAGAAAGTGATGGGGGTGCTGGAGATCTAGAAGACCCATGGTAGCCTTAAAAACCTTCTAAAATGCTTTTGATTCTGAAAATTGGGAGAAAAAACTTTTAATCACAGTTTTCTTCAATACAAGGGGAAAATATTCTTGTGGATTTCCAACGTTTTGTGGTCTGAGCAGAAAATCATTAGGATTTCCATCATTTGTTCCTGTTTGTGTTTTCTGACAGTCGCTGCTCGTAGCATTGCCTGTACAGGATTTTTTGCCAACCTCAGGCATACTCATTACATCTGTATTGAACTTTTGGCCCTAGAAACCAGTAGAGTTATTTCACCACAAATCAACAATGTGCCTGAGGTGCATGGGAAATAATACCTATTATACAAGGTTCAGGAATAGTTAGCTATATAATTAGCTATTATACAAGGGTCAGGAGACTAAGGGATGGAAGGAGAAGTGGCCCCACTCACCATTATTTCCGTTGGCCCACATACTACCATTCCCCAATGATCCACTGGGGGATTTTCTGCTTTCATTCTCTGCAGTGCTAGGCTCTGCATGATTGGAGGTCCTGATTCTCAAAGGGAACACCCTCTTGCCAGGAATATAATAAAGGTCCCACTGAACTATAATTTGTGACTGCTGACAAGGCACTTTGTACTTTTTGTGTTCAGGCACCAGCAGGCAAGAGAGGAATTGGTATATTAGCAAGAGCAATGAACTGATCATTAGGGGAAAGTAAGTTTATTTACAAGACAGAGCAAGGAGAATATGTGTAGGACTCAGGTTTGGCACCTCCTATACACCCTAGCCCCATTATAACTGTGAATAGACAGATGCAGCAACCCCAGCCTTAGCAGAGTATAGTTATCGTGAGTTCTGACCCCTCAGGAATAAAGGGTTGGGTTACACCACCAGGTAAGCCCTGATCTTCCTCCTGAGCCTTCCCTTTCTTGCAATAAGGATCCCTTTCTCTGTTCCATTTTCTATTTCTACTCATTCCTATCGCCAATCCTACCTGCCTATGTGCCTGCAAATCTTCCCAGAGCCCCGGTTTGGATTTGTTTTCCTTCTCCCGGATGTTCTTGAATTGGGGTGTGTTCCGCTTAGTGCCAGCTCCTCCGATCACTTCCTCTTCCCACACTTTAATGACCCTTCTTTCAGTTTCCCATATCCCCAAGTACGCTTTTATTCCTCTGCAAACTTCACATGGGTAGGAATCAGACTTGATTGTTTTCAACAGCGTATGCCTAGACAGCAGGCACAGGGCTTGCCGGACACAAAAGGCAAGGACTCAGAGAATATCCATGAGATGAAAGAATGACTAGGTGAGTAAGTGAGTCAACTCTCAGTCCCCTTCCTTGTTGTCTGATGGGCAAGTTACAACTTCTGCTCTCCTTTGAAATGTTCTCTTTTGTATTGGAAGGAGGGCTCTTGGGTGAAATAGTGGAATAAATACACTGGAGGCTTTCAGCATGTGGGATATGGTCAGGACATGTTTCTTAACTCTGAATCTGATTCCACAGCCACCAAGCTCAAACCACCCAGCAAGCAGCACATCTCCTGTGCTTCCTCCCTGCGTGCATCCTTCCCATGTAAACCAGGTTTCTTGACTTGGATGTGAAGGGTGATGGGAGTGGGAGGTGAGGTGAAATATTTTGGAACTATAGGAGGGGGCTTTTTATTTGTCATAAATTTGGGACAGAATCTATTGACATTTAGAGAGTGGGAACCAAGGATGCCAACCTGCCATGGTATGTGAACAGCGCCATATAACAATAAACTGTCCTGGCCACACATGGCGGCCCACTTCTGTAATCCCAGCACTTTGAGAGGCTGAGGTGGGAGGATGGCTTGAGCCCAGGAGTTCAAGTCCAGCCTGGGCAACTTAGTGAGATCCCTTCTCTACAAAAAATAAATAAATTTAGAAAAAAGTTATTTGGGCAAGAGGGTACATGCCTATGGTCTCAATTACTTGTGAGGCTGAGGTAGGAGGACTGCTTGAGCTCCAGAGTTCGAGGCTGCAGTGAGCTGTGATTGCACTCCAATCTGGGTGGCAGAGTGAGGCCTGTTCTCAATTATAAAAACAAAAAAACAACAAACATAAAACCCAATTAACTGTCTAGAGCTCTGCACAATCTCTGGTGTCCTGTCCCTTGTGCCAACATTCAAATATGCAAAAAACATTTTTTTTTTGGTAAAGTTATTTAGGTTCTAGTTCAGATAAACATTACGCATTTTGCATGGTTTTAATATACAAAAGTTTCCAGGAGTGGATTCTGTTGGAATAAAGAAAGAAAAGAGTATACTTTATTTTGTTCAGAGCTGCTTTACCAGAGTTATTTGCCATTTCAGAAAATCATGTTGATGGGGCGCTCATACCTATAATCCCAGCACCTTGGGAGGCCAAGGTGGGCAGATCACTTGAGGCCAGGAGTTCAAGACCAGCCTGAGCAACATGGTGAAACCCTGTCTCTACTAAAAATACAAAAATTAGCCAGGGGTGGTGGTGTACCCCTATAGTTCCAACTACTTGGGAGGTTGAGGCAGGAGAATCATTTGAATCTGGGAGGCAGAGTTTGCAGTGAGCTGAGATTGTGCCACTGCACTCCAGCCTGGGCAACAGCGCGAGATTCCATCTCAAAAAAAAAAAGAAAAAAAAGAAAAAAAAATCATGTCACAGAAGCAATGCTGCAGATGGAATTGAGTTGCCAATAAAAGTCTACAGTCTGCATTTGTAGTTATATTGTTCATGATGATTTTTGCCATAGATAGAGTCAGTCCCTTTGATTAAAGATAGAAAGTGTAAATTGAAAAAAATTAAAAAAGTAATTAAGCAAGGCCGGGCACAGTGGCTCACGCCTATAATCCCAGCACTTTGGGAAGCCCAGAAGGGCAGATCGCTTGAAGCCAGGAGTTTGAGACCAGCTTGGCCAACATGGTGTGAAACCCCATCTCTACTGAAACATACAAAATTATCCAGGCATGGTGGGGCACACCTGTAGTCCCAGCTACTCAGGAGGCTGAGGCACAGAATTGGTTGAACCTGGAGGCAGAGGTTGCAGTGAGTCAAGATTGCTCTACTCACTGCACTCCAGCTTCAGCGACACAGTGAGACTCTCTCTCTCTCTATATATATGATTTTCAAAATTCATGAAACTAAATAAGTGTAAAAGAAATGCAAATAAACTTTCAAGGCTTTTTTTTTTTTTTTAATTTTGTTTTGTCTTGTTTTTTGAAAACTTCTAGCACTTGCATTTCTCAAGTTTTAAGATTTTTGGGACACCCTGTTATTGTAAAAAGGGTTACTGAATCTGGTAAGCTGGAGACGACTCACTAACACTTTACATCCACCTAGAAAGAGGCGTCAATTGAAGATGTCCCGTCGTGAATATGGGATGGGACACAATGTGGAGGCCAGTGGCTGGAAGCCAGCTTACCCCTGCCTGCGCGTTTTGAGGCAAGGGCTCCAGCGCACACCAAGGTTGAACCTCGGTCGCCTTCTTTGTGAAATGAGCGCGGGAATGCCTATGTTTCTGGGCAGCCGTGGGAACATGGAGAGAAGCCCAGGGCGCACTGGAGGACCCAGTGGGAACTGCCAGGACCTCTCTGCACCCCACCCCGCCTTTGCCTGCCCGGATTACGAAACGCTGTTGGCACCCAGGGGCGGGAGCGTCAGGTGGCCTCCGTGCCCTCCGCGCACGAGCCTGCTGGTCCGCCTTTCAGGGCGCGCAAGGGGCAAGTCTGGTCCGGTAGCAGCACCCCAGGTCGGCTGGCCACTTGTTCCCGGTTCTGTGCCCCGTAAGCCCTCAAAGCCCTGGTGGGGGCAGTGACCATGGTGTCTGGGCTGCGGCGCCGGGCGGGGCACGGCGGGACTTTTCAGGACCTTTCCTGGGGGGAGCCTCGCTTTCCCCGCCTCCAGCCTCCGCACGAAGGGCCGGGAGGGCGGGCGGAGCCCCGGTCCAGGCCTTGAGACCCAGAAGGGAGCGGCTGGTTTTGCTGCGCCAACGCAGTGACCGAAGGCTCCGCTCACGCCAGGGTAAGAGGCAACGGGCGGCCGATCTCGGGCCCTAGGCCAGGGGAGGGAGACTGCTGGGCAGGGACAGCGACCACCACTGAGGCTGTTTGTTGCCCCAACTCGGTGTCCGCAGCTGGGACTCCGCAGACCCGGTGTGCCGCGCCCCAAGCTTGCCTTCCCCAACTCCGGACACCTGCAGCTCTTGCTACCCTCGTCTGGAACCCGGGTCTTAGGGGACTCTTGCTTCCTTCTTGGAGTGTCAGAGCCTCAGGGCCGCGGAGAGGCCACCCCGCGAGGGGCGCTTAAACCAAAGTATCGGTGGTGTTGGTGTGTGAATGTTTCTGGCGCCTTCCACTTGTTGACTGTCACTCGGCACCGTCCCCGAGAGGGAGTGGGTGCTCAGAGACCCGGGGCCAGGGATTGACACAGTCATCCACTGACACTGCACGTGGGACAGAGGGGCACTCGAGGGGTCAGCTGCAGCTGAAACCTGAAGGGGAGAGGATTTAGGGCATCTGCTGAACAGGAATTGGTGGAAAGGGCAAAAGGATCTTATGGTAGAATCTGGGTTCATTTCCTTTCTTCTTCATCTCTCTCTTTTATTTATCAAAATTCCAACCTGGCTTTTTGCTCAGACACTGAGCAGAGCCCCTGGCTTTGCCTGGGCTGCCCGTTGCTATAATGCAGGACTCTTGTCCATTTGTGTGCCGCGCTCCCCTTTGGCATTTCTGGGAAGGCTAAAGACTCTTTCTCAGAACAATCCTTTTTTTTTTTTTCAGACAGAGTCTTGATCTGTCACCCAGGCTGGAGTGCAGTGGCACAGTCTTGGCTCACTGCAACCTCTGCCTCTGGGGTTCAAGCGATTCTCCTGCCTCAGCCTCCTGAGTAGCTGGGACTACAGGCACAGGTCACCACACCTGGCTAATTTTTGTATTTTTAGTAGAGACGGGTTTTATTATGTTGCCCAGGCAGGTCTCGAACTTCTGGCCGCAAGTGGTCCACATGCTTCGGTTTCCCAAAGTGCTGGGATTACACAAGTGAGTCACCGTGCCCGACCAGAGCAATACTTTTTAAAAGGTATAAAATAAAAGGAAGAGTATTATAAAGGAAACGAATTGCAAAACACTTGTCAAAACATCAAAAGAATTTATAATAACTAAGGTGTTTTTTTTTTTTTTTTGAGATGGAGTCTTGCTCTGTCACCCAGGCTGAAGTTCGATTCTCCTGCCTCAGACTCCTGAGTAGCTGGGATTACAGGCATGCATCAGCATACCCAGTTAATTTTTTTGTAATTTTAGTAGAGACAGGGTTTCTCCATGTTGCTCTTGATCTCAGGCTGGTCTTGAACTCCTGACCTCAGGTGATCCGCCTGCCTCAGGCTCCCGAAGTACTGGGATTATAGGTGTGAGCCACTGCACCCAGCTATAAAATAATTTATGATGTAGTAATATATGTGCCTTTAAAAAACTAATGCAGTATTTAATAACAAGGTTATATTAACTGCTTTGGTTTGTTGGCTACATACATAACTGAAGTAAATGTTAAATTTCAATTAGATACTAGAGAAATAAAAACATGTAAATAATAAATATCAGTAAAAATAAAGATGTAAAAAATGTTTCCCTCTAAGGTCTTGGGTTCAGGTTAAGATCCTGTGATAGTAGAAAGGGCACCGACCAGGAAGTAAGGTGACTTGGCTTCTGGGCTTGACCCTTCCATTGACATTTCCAAGGTCCATTATAACCTTGCCTGAGACATGGTCTTGCTCTGTCACCTAATCTGGAGTACAGTGAGACGATCTCTGCTCATTGCAACCTCTTCCTGGGTTCAAGTGATTCTCCTGCCTCAGCCTCCCTAGTAGCTGGGATTACACCAGGCACACACTACCACGCCTGGCTAATTTTTGTATCTTTTGGTAGAGATAGGGTTTTACCATGTTGGCCAGGCTGGTCCAGAACTGCTGACCTCAAGTGATCTCTGCCCTTCTCGTCTTCCCAAAGCAGCCACCGTGCCTGGCCTAACCTTGGCTTTTGAACTTCTTTTAGCCTTGGCTTCTCCATTGTACAGTGGAGATGATAACACCTTCCCAAATATTTAAGATACCCAGCACTGCACTTGGTGTGGAGAGCTGAAGTAGTTATCATTTATAAGAACTTATCTGTATCCCTCCCAAGTTTATGGCCTTCCCTGTTATGTCCCCAAGCCTGGGGAGGTACTCAGTATTTATTGAATGAATAAGTGGGTTGGAAATGGTTACTTGTTACTACATCCAAAAAACAAAATTCATTAAGGAGACAGCTGGTGGTTTGGGAAATGACTTTGTTTAAGTTTGGGGCTTTTTTTTTTTTTTTCCAACTGGCTGAACAAATATATAAACACATCTGAAAGGGGGGTGCTTAAAATGTTAGTCAGGGCCCAGGGTCTGTGTGTGCGTGTCTGTGTGGCTGGTGTTCTGCCAGTGAAAATGAAACTGAATGTTGATAGGAAACCGGATTCCTTTGCAGAACGGTTTCTCCTCCATGTTGCCTGTGTGTAGGTTTGTTAATCCACCGTGTTGTAACACAGGAAATGTCTTATAAAGAATGGAGACAGACCCATGACAAGGCATTTCTGGGCATAGATGTACTTTTTTCTTCTCTTTTCACCTTTCCCTGCTCCATTATCCACTACATAACTCCTCTTTGTCTCTGAAGACCCGGTGAATAGGAGCAGTTTGGGTAGTTTATGAAAAGCTGCCTGGACTTGGCTTGAAGCCAACTAGTTGCTTCTTAATCCTAACCTTAAAGATCTATGTAATCCCACAGATGAGGATGGTAATAGTGATAAAGAAAAGTAGATCTAAAAGTAGCCAACCATCCCTGTGCTTTACATTGTGAAAGTGCTAAATTGGGGCAGGAGGTAGAGAACTTTGTGAAAAAACGAAAACAAACAACCAAAAATCCCCAGGAAATTTAGAAAACACTGGGACTATCTATGCCTATAACTTTGGGGAGGGCAAATACTGGCATTAGGAACTCAGCTGGGCTCCCTTTTGGCCTCCACCAAATTCATATGTTGAAACCCTAACCCCCAGCATCTTAGAATGTGACTATGTTAGGAGATGGTGCCTTTAAAGAGGTAGTTAGGAGTGGTGGTGAGCCCCTGTAGCCCAAGCTGCTTGGGAGGCTGAGGTGGGAGAACTGCTTGGGCTCAGAAGTTCAAGGCTAGCCTGGGCAACATAGCAAGACCTTGTCTCAATAAAAGAATAATTAACCAGCTGTGTTGACTCATGCCTGTAATCCCAGCACTTTGGGAGGCCGAGGTGAGCAGATTGCTTGAGGTGGAGAGTTCGAGACCAGGCTGGCCAACATAGAGAAACCTTGTCTTTACTAAAAATTAAAAAAATTAGCTAGGTGAAGTGGCGCACACCTGTAATTCCAACTCCTTGGGGGCTGTGAGGCATGAGAATCACTTGAACCTGAGAGGAGGAGGTTGCATTGAGCCTGGAGATCATCACACCACTGCATTCTAGCCTGCGCAACAGAGCAAGACTAAGTTTCAAAAAAAAAAAAAAGATAATTAAATTAGGTCAATGGGATGGGTGGGGTCCTAATCCAATATAAATAGTATCCTTATAAGAAGAAGACTAATCAAGAGCATGTGTGCACAGAGAAAAGGCCACACAAAGGCACAGTGAGAAGGTGGCCATCTGCAAACCGGAGAGTGAGGTCCCAGGAGAAACCAATCTTGTCAGCACTGAGGTCTTGGACTTTTAATCTCCAGAATGTTGAGAAAGTAAACGTCCGTTCTTTGATAAAATAAATTTCTGTTCTAGACTTCATCTAGTATATGGTACTGTGTTATGGCAGCTCTAGCAAATTGATAGAACTGGTTTTACCAAGCAGACAATTGGTTAAAAAAAAATGGCTACGACTAGGCACCATCTCTTTTAAGTCATGATCCCGACGTGTCCATCACTTGCCCTTAGGATCCCTTACCTCACTTATGCAGAAGAATCTCTCATGTAATCTCCTTCTGCAGACATCCCGTGTGGTCCCTAGGATCCTGCTTGAGGTTGTTAAAGTCATATTCACCTTCATGACTTTGACTATTAGGAAAAGAAAAACTTGGCATCTTCAGCAAGTGACCCAGGTTAGCTGTTGTGCCATGTACACAGTAAGTATTTTATAAATGCATGGTGGGTGATGAGTGATGATGTTGATAATCTTCCTTATATACCAGGGGATGACTCCCTTCTGATCATAATGAATCTCCACTTTTTGGCCCTAGCCCAGCCCTCAGAGAACTTTGATTTGGGAATGAAAGTTTTTTTCATTTAATGGAATGGTTTCCATTCTAATTATGTGCCAGGCCTGCTTATAAAGCCTTGTTATTCTTTGCCAAAAAAATTCACATCTCTGATCAATCTAAGGAGTTATTAGAACAAGTGTCCCCATTTGAATGCCTGCTTGTGAACTTCCCTTTTCCTTTTCTCATTTAGAGGCTAGCAGAGTGTTAGAGAAGCAGGGGACCTTTGACGATACCCAGCCTTTATTCCATTGATGAAGAAAGCGTGGCCCAGAATGAGTCAGGATGAGCTGTGCCTAGCACTCCCTGGACTGTGGCCCTGGGTTTCTTGACTCTTGATATGCCCTCAGACAAAGCCAGGAACGAGTCAGTGTCACCTAGCTGGACACAGGAGAGATGTGAGCTGTGTACACCTCATTCTGTCTTAACTATTAAAGGATTGAGTTTAGAGTTTGTCCAACTATGTTCAAATAGGAGATGTATACCTTGTATTTAAAGAGTGTTTTCTGATTATGGTTTATGCACACGCTGGATTCCAAGGAATGATATGCCTGAATGAAATGGCCAGTCCCGGTTTACAGTGAACTGCTTGCATGTGAGACTCTGAGTGGAAATCCCAATGCTCCTGAGGCTGTTGAGCAATTTTAATGTAATTTAACAAAGTCAAAAAAACAAGTTGATCCCTGTTGTGTGACTGGGAGTACACCAATTGCACATCAGGCTTCCTTCTCCAG